AACTCATCAACTGGGTACAGAAATTATGCAGTGGCTTTGAGCCAAACTCTAAATTTGAGATTCCCTAAACTGAAATGGGATTCTATTAAAGTTTTGATATCCGAGCTCGATTGTTTAGTCGAAGAGCTTTCATTGTTCTCCTCAACATCATCAGCACAAACTCCAGTTATAAGTTAAGTATTCTGATTTCTACATATGTCACCATCAACATATCTTTCAGACCACTGTAGCGGTAAATAAATCCCCAAAATAAATAGCTCTGTAAGTTTTCGACATTGGATGCTGACCATATGTTTTAGTGGACTCATCTAGCTGAAGGCGCTCGGTCAGGCATCCGCACCAGATCACGTGTAGTAACGCCGTGCTCAACATCAACCACAATCGCTAGCCAGATTAGATCAGAGAATCCCGATATATTGGTCATCGCCAAATATACTCTTCCGATCTCCTCGACTCTGTCTTTTGATTTCTCTTGGTGGGAACGAAATATATTAGAAGGTGTTACTGGTAGAAGCGTTGTCAAACACTGAATACCTGTGACATCATCATTGGTGAGACCGTCGTGATCTGGTACACCTTATTGCAACTGTGAGTCTGTTCCTTTTTGGGATTTTTATATATCATTGCCTTATTTTTTTTAAACATTGTGATTTTTTTCGTGTTTTTTCTTGGATATATATATATTTTCCCCTCGTTCATTATCGTACTTCATATTTCATCATGACTGAACAGACACCTAAAGTACTCAAGCTTAAGACCTTGTCCCCACCTTCGTTTCAACTGATGCCTTTCTGGCCCGACAACATCGAAGCCTGGTTTTGCTACGCAGAAGCCGACTTCTCCGAGCACGGCGTGATCGACACACGTGCACAATTCCTCGCAGTAGTCAAGGCACTACCGCGCGAATTCAACAGGTACGTAACACCTAGTATGTTTACTAGTGATGTTTCCGATCCTTACGAAATCTTAAAACGCTCGATTCTTAAACGAGGAGACCTAACCGATCGACAAAGGTTAGATCAACTCTTCAACAATATCGACCTGCAACACGGTTCTGCGACGGACATGTTGCAACGGATGAGAGAGGTTATAGGCCCAAGAACTTTCGACGAAGGTCTATTCAAACAACTCTTCTTGTCAAAACTTCCCCAACAGGTGCAAGCAGTTCTGGTCTCGTTCCAGAACAACGCCTTAGACGAACTAGCTGTATCTGCCGACCGCATTCTAGAAATTACGAAACCTTCTACTACCGAGGTATTTTCAGTCAAAGAAAAGCCTCACACGACTCAGAATGACATAACCGACTTATGTCACACACTCACGCGTTATCTTAGTCTTCGTACCGACCGTAAGAGATCGCGCACACCACGTAGAAGCATTTCTCGTAAGCGATCTGTCTCTAGACCACGAGAGACAGATAACCCCGACTGGTGCTGGTATCATAACCAGTATGGAAAGTTTTCCAGAAATTGCAGAAAACCCTGCAATTTTCCCAACACGAAACCGACTGATTCGAATCGGGAAACTTCCAAGCCGGCACGCGTTAACGGCAACCGTAGCCGGCGAACAAAGCCGTCTGTTATTCGTCACAGATGTGACAACGAGAGTTCGCTACCTCGTCGACACTGGCGCAGAAGTTAGCGTTCTCCCAGCAAATCCTAACGACCGACTTCACGAATCGACCCTAAACTTACAGGCGGCAAACGGAAAACCGATCGCTACGTATGGCAAAAGGTACGTTTACCTTAACGTGGGTTTACGCAAACCCATCCACTGGATTTTCGTCGTTGCAGATGTTTCTATGCCAATCATTGGTATGGACCTTCTACAACACCACAATCTGATCATCGACACTCGCAAACGGAGGCTAGTAGACGGAAACACTAATTTGTCCGTTTGCGTAACTTCTTTTACTGGTTGTAGAGTATCCCCAGTCACAGTTAAACATATGATAGACCCACTCTATCAACCACTACTCGATAAGTACCCTGGGATACAACAAACTCAACCGAAACTACCGTGTGTAACCAGCAATGTTACACATCACATCACGACTACAGGACCACCTGTATTCTCTAAAGCACGACGACTAGCTCCTGAAAAGCTAAGGTTAGCGAAAAACGAATTCGATCACATGATGGACTTAGGAATCATACGACCGTCAAGTAGCCCATATGCATCTCCGTTGCACATGGTCCCTAAAAAGGACAGCAACGATTGGCGTCCAACTGGTGACTATCGGCGATTGAACGCGAAAACCATTCCCGATCGTTACCCGTTGCCTCACATTCACGATTTGACAGCTACCTTGAAAGGTACAACTGTCTTTTCGAAAATCGACTTGGTTAAAGCGTATAACCAAATCCCTATGGCTACTGACGACATACCGAAAACAGCTATCATAACTCCCTTCGGACTCTATGAATTTTTGCGAATGCCTTTCGGTCTAAGGAATGCTGCTCAAACATTCCAAAGATTCATAGACGACGTTTTTCGAGGTCTCAACTTCGTACACGCGTATGTTGACGACTGTCTAATCGCAAGTCCGGACAGAGAAACACATCTCAAGCATCTGGACCTTGTTTTCGAACGATTACAAAAACATGGCATAACTGTAAACGTTCAGAAATGCCAATTTGGAACCGACTCGTTAGACTTTCTGGGACACACTATCGATGCTCAAGGTATCCGACCCCTTAGAACCAAAGTGGCGGCCATTCTGGATTACCCAGAACCGACCACCGTCAAGCAATTACGCACGTTCAACGGCCTGGTAAGTTTCTATAGACGTTTCATACCCAAATGCGCATCACTTATGAAACCTCTGACCGACCAACTTCGTGGAAATGCGAAATCCATTAATTTGGACGACACCGCACGAAAAGCATTCTCCACAGTTAAGGAACTGATTGCTAAAGCAACAATGCTCGCACATCAGGACACCCGAGCACCCATTAGCATCGCAGTAGACGCATCCGACTCAGCAATCGGAGGAGTCTTACAACAATGGGTTAACAACTCCTGGCAACCCTTGGCATTTTTCTCTAGAAGGTTGCTAGACACCGAATCGAGGTACAGCACATTCGGTAGGGAACTCCTAGCTATGTATTGTGCTGTACGGCATTTCCAACACTATATCGAAGGCCGTGAATTCACTCTTTTCACGGACCATAAACCGCTCACTTTCTCGTTAAGCTCTCCTTCTGACAAGTACTCTCCCCGTGAGTCTCGACAACTGGACTACATTTCGCAGTTTACTTCAGATATTCAACACATCTCTGGAGCAAACAATGTAGTTGCAGACGCTTTATCTCGCATAACTTCCTTGAACAGTTTCCAAGGAATCGACCTTCTTAAACTCGCCGAGCTTCAAAAAGAAGACAGTGATCTTCAGCACGAGTTATCGTCCACAACACTTAAACTACGCATCAAACAGATGGGAACAGGTAAGGAAACCTTACTTTGTGACACATCTACAGGTAGGGATCGCCCAATCGTGCCGAAACATTATCGACGCAATGTCTTCAACACATTGCACAAACTTTCTCATCCAGGTGTTCGTGCAACCATCAAGCTTATAGCAGAACGATTTTGCTGGCCTGGCATGAATAAAGACGTGAGGGAGTGGGCACGCTCCTGTGTAAGCTGCCAAAAATCTAAGGTTATCAGACACAATAAATGTCCCTTAGGCTCGTTTAAAACTCCCGATGCTCGTTTCGACCATGTTCATCTGGATTTGGTAGGACCTTTACCAGATTCAAATGGATACTCTTATCTCTTAACCTGCGTAGACCGTTTCACTCGATGGCCAGAAGCAGTACCTATCAAGGACAGCACTGCTGAAACAGTGGCCCGCACATTCGTCGAACGATGGGTAGCAAACTTCGGTTGCCCTTCAACCATCACTACAGACCGCGGACGTCAGTTTGAATCTGATCTTTTCCGTCGTCTGACCACACTTTTAGGAATCACTCGCTTCCGAACGACCGCCTACCATCCACAAGCAAACGGGTTGGTAGAACGTTTTCACCGACAACGGTGAAACTCTACTTTATGGACGACCTTTGAACGAATCTTCAAGTGACCTTGAGAACATTGGCCAATCAGAAGAGAGTTAGTATAAAGTAAAAATATATTATAAAAAAGTGATGAATTACAAGGCATATTCTTCTTTTACATTATTTAAGATCTTGTTGAGGTTTGATATAGGTTCAGAAGTTTTGAAATCATAGTGGATGCGGTATAAGAACTCGTCCATATGACTCCATAATAATCGTCCTCTGGAGCCGTGGTAGGAACTTAAAAAATACTTCAGCCTAGACCACATGCCCTCAATGTTGTTCGTATGGACCCCCATCGTTGGGTCAACAAAATGACGTTTGTGCATCACAACATGATGCACAAAACCAAATCTCGAGAGGCATCTATACGATTTCCAATCATCGGTATAGCCGCAGCTAACGTTACTGGAGACTTTATGATCCAATTTGCAACGATTATCATGGTTTGTCTTAGCCTTAGCCGTGACCGGGCAAAAAAAGTGCCAGTTCGAGCAGATTTTTTTCTACAACATATAGTACAACGAAATACAATGTCATCGCGGCAGTCTGCACATCGTGCTGCGGTCATATAATTGCCGCAGTCACAGACACAGGCGCTTCTTAATAGTCCCATCTGCTGTAGTCTCTCAACGATCACCTATTCGCTAAAATCTGCTGTAAAACGATCGAATGTGAGCATCTAGCATTGAACTTAGCGCCGTGACCTTGAAACTCCTTAGACGCTTCTGATTGGCTCGTCCATAAATTAGAGTCCTACCCCGACAACTAAAAGCTTCACTTTCAGCTGCAAACGTTTCACAGTGGACCGACGCTCTTCCACTTGTCTTACTAGGTATCCGCAATGCAGTGAAAGCTGACATTGGATACACTGCGGCTCAACTCGTTTATGGAACGACACTTCGACTTCCAGGAGAATTCGTGGGTCCTTCATCCTCTTCAATGAACATGGATCTAACCTCCTACACGAACAGGCTTACAAACGCAATGCGTTCAGTTAAACCTGCTTTCACTCGACCTCAATCAACTGATGTTTTCGTTCAAGCTGACTTACGATATAGTACACACGTTTTCGTTCGTCGAGACTCGCATCGACGACCTTTCGAATCAGCATACGAAGGACCCTTCAAAGTTCTTCAACGTGAATCTAAGTACTATATAGTCGATAAGAACGAAACCAACGACAGCATCAGCATCGATCGCTTAAAAGCAGCGTATTTAGAAGGAAATCCTATGTACGTGGATTTTCCTTCGGTACAATCGAACGACACGACTCCGAAACTTATAATACCTCATCCGACAACCAACACACACGATGATACTTCGACAGTATCCGAAAATAAACTTAAAACGACGCGTTCTGGAAGAAGGGTGAGATTTCCAGAACATTTAAACGACTATTGCACGTAAGGCACTTCTCGACATTTTATATTATTTTTAAAAAAAAAAACAATTTTAATATGCTTATATATTTTTATTTCTATTTAAAAAAAACAAAAAAAAACAATTTTTTAACGCTATTACGTGTTCATGAGTTTATTTTCCATTTTTTTCCGCCGACATTGTGTTTTTACGCACATGCGAGTGTATTTTCGACATGCACTTACATTTTCTTTTTTCTTTTCCAGGACGGCTGGAAAAGAACGATGACGTTTATGAGGATCCGAAATTTTCATTGTACATTTTCTTTTTTTACTATGTTGTACCTCTGTCCCATATAGTAAGGAAAGACGACCAGACGATGCTAAATTTAGTAAGCTATCAGAAGAGTGTTTACCAACGACAAACTCGTTGGGTTTAAACTTCTGGCTGGCCACGTCTTAGGGTCGTCACTGCCCCACTAGGCGGGGAGTGATCTGTAGCGGTAAATAAATCCCCAAAATAAATAGCTCTGTAAGTTTTCGACATCGGATGCTGACCATATGTTTTAGTGAACTCATCGAGCTGAAGGCGCTCGGTCAGGCATCCGCACCAGATCACGTGTGGTAACGCCGTGCTCAACATCAACCGCAATCGCTAGCCAGATTAGATCAGAGAATTCCGATATATTGGTCATCGCCAAATATACTCTTCCGATCTCCTCGACTCTGTCTTTTGATTTCTCTGGGTGGGAACGAAATATATTAGAAGGTGTTACTGGTAGAAGCGTTGTCAAACACTGAATACCTGTGACATCATCACCACGATCTTGGTTGGTTATTGTTGGTCCTCCAAGTTCCAGCTCTGCACAATAACACTGTTTTGATGTTGGTGTTTGAAATTCTGTCTTTGATGTTGTGCGACAGTTGTTTTGAGTCCCAGATATTCTTCAATTGTAGGAATGCTGTCCTTATTTTGCCAATTCGTGCCTTCACATTCTCACTAGGTCTTCGTTGTTCATCAATGATGCTAGCTAAGTACGTGAATGCTCCCAAGTCTTCCATCAAGTGTGATATGTTTGCTGCCTGCGTCTCATACGAACTTCTTTTAAAACTTTCGTCATTTGACCTATGGGATTCCATTGTATTCTGGTGCAAATCTTTCATTAAAAAAGTAGCCAAATCGTCCATATGGATCTTGCTACTCTAAGCCTATAAACAACGCCAGTGAGATTATGGAAGGAAGTGTGCTTAGCCCATTACTCTTTCTCCTACTTATTAACGACGTGCGTTCACTATTTCAGTACAGTGAAACTTCCCTTTTTGCCGATGACCTGAAAGTGGTTTATTCACTCTCGTCACCTTTCAAAGAAAACGATATTTCAGCGGCAACCCTAGAAGACACGCACAAGTTACACGAATGGACTGTGTCGTAGAATCTATCGGTGAGTGTTGGTAAGGGTGGATTCATTCACATTGGCAGAAGACTAAGCTAAATCTGGTTCTACACAAACACGTACTAAAACTCCTCACCATTCGAGTGAATGTATAGTAGCAGTTTGGACTTTCCGAGCATATCACATCTAAAGTATCCAAATCAAGAAAGCCGATTGAATTGTTTATGATAAATTTTGTTAGTACTTATTGCAGATTATTATTATAAATTCTTGGATACGGTATTTTAGTTAACTGTTGTAGAATTATGATTAATTTATGTGTAAGTTTATTTATCTCTACTATCAGAAGAGTATACTTGTTCTACCATTGCAGACCTGTCATTATATGAATACCCAGCGTACAAGATTTTAAGTGGAAGCCACATTATCTCTCTACGTTTGGACCTTGCGTTACGATAACACGGTATCTAATACAAAGCGTTGAAATATCGTTGAACCCTATTGTATAACTCATAAATAGCATTAGACTTAACACAACGAACTGAGTCGACTGTCAAAAAAACGAGCCCAGAAAAGCCCTAATCCTTCAGAGAATACCAACTCTGCTATTACCTATACCCCATGCTTTGTGACTCCTTTTGCATCAGACAATGTTGGAAGTTGAATTACACCACACCTGCTTCTGGATGATTCAGGCTCTAATTTAATAATGAGTTCTACATCAATAATATTAAGAGTGAACTAGACAATACCTATAAGCAGTCAAGCTATATGCGTCCTAAGGTGGAGTTGCTTGCGAGCTCTTTATCAAAGCATGATGATCGTAAGCAAGAAATAAAGAAACTATCACCCCTTAAACTGCTGTTGGCGAAGGATATGGTTCGGTAGAACTTGAAGACATTATCAAAGTAGAACATATTATCGATTTTATCACTGGCGAAGTTACTAAACGAATGATCCCTCGGAATAAAGTGATTATCCATAACATACCTGACAAAATCGCCATTAAGTCCGTAAGGAATTCAATATTAAAGGCAGCTAACGTCCAAGATAGTCCATCCCAATACATTCGTCTTAATAAAAGGCACCAGTAGTACTCGTGCCCTATCGTGTTTAGATTCGATTCCCATTTATTAGCTGAACACTTGAAAGAATCCGAACGGCTAATCTACACACTTAAGAAGTTTAGGAGCGTTCGTGTAGTCTCAGATAAAACGACCAATCAAAGACTTACGCAAAAGTGTACCTCAAACGAAAACAAGGCTGTCGAGATTACAACGGATACCGTTGCCTCAGCAGCTGCACCCACTGATGTGGCTAACCTATCTCATGTTATCCAATACATGGATTTACCAATGAAGAGTGTTAACTTGCCTCTTATGCTTGTAGTGACCTTAGGTAACCAATGTATAGCTAATGGAGACATTAATTTGATATTTTCCAGTAACCCGAGGTTTACAGTATATTATATAGATTCATTAAATAAGCTGTCGGGTAAGATTTTATTTCTTGTATAAGCATAGTGTACTTATTTATGGAGCAGCTTGCTTTTGACACAAGAACTTACACAGCGAAAATGATAAGTAAATGATGGGAAGTCATACACAAGGGAATTACATGAAGGAGTCACTGTCAGTGATAAACCAAACGACTGCTACTTCGGTTTGTTAGGAAACTAAGTGTGATCAGAGACTATCAAACACATAATGCACATAAAAAATGTTGCGATTTATACATTTGCCATGCTTTTGAGAGAAAATCTAAACCTTTGTGAGAGCCCCACTAGTGTTAGTTACCGGATTTGTTTATTTGATGATTACTATATCAATGGATTTTCAGGTTTAAATTACATTTTGGCTAAAGACGTTTTATAAGTAGCGTTTATTATTTAATCGACCTTTTTAATATTTTCTAGATGGTTCGACTTCATCAAATTATGGCTAAAGACGCCAACAATCGTACGAGATATAACGCAGAAACGAGATCAAACTTTGAATGGAGGTTCCAGCAAACAGTCTCTTGATTTTTTAATGTATCTGAGTTTAGTAGCCTTTCAAACAAATTATAGCGTTACGATCCATCAGTAGTTCTTTAACGGTGAATTGTGTGTACTGAAGAGCACTGTTAATTGTATGCTCAGTAATTTGCACAAGTCGCCTAACTTTTGCTTCTTTCGATTACTTTAAGGTTAGATGAACACGACACAAACCTACTACTATGTGTATGAATAAAAACAAAATATAGGCTGGTTTTGGGCGACAGTATATTGTAATAACATAATGTAAACTACAGTTTGAATGATAAATGTTATAAAGTCAACGCATGAATAGCAATATAGCAAGTTACAACATCCTGTAACGTGAATCTGAAAAAGTCATTAGAAACTTCACATGAATCGGTGGAAAATAAGAACGAAGTGCATTTGGCGCAAACCGATGTTATATCAAGAACGCCAGTCAAATATCTGAAGCATGCCAAAATGTATGAAAGGTTGCTAGGAGTAGGCGTCATACATTCAAATTATACGATATATACTATTTCCAGTGAACAACTTGAATAACAAATAAACCAAAAGAAATATGGATACATTTTTAGTATCGAAACCTTTCATCATCTTTCACAATATTTACCAGACAATCATCTTCGGTATTTTACGCAATCACCAACAAACCCTGTATTTTGTAAAATTTGAGGTTATGTGATTATTTATTTATTTGAACACATAAATATTGGTACAAGAGAGCGCCAATATATATGCGCCACACAAAACAATGAGAATTGGAAGACAAATAGAAAAAGAAGAGAACAACAACGAAGAGATTGGTGTAAGGTAGTGTGGTAGTAATGAGGGAACGCAAAAGTACAATCGGAAGAAATCTTTCAGGTAAGGAAGACACAACCAATTTTTACGAAGAAAGTAAAAGAAGGTTACAGCAGGAACGCCACTGACTTCTATTCTGAGCCATATCTAATAACGTCTCTAGCCACTGTGTTGCACCATCTCTCAGACCCCAACCAGGGAGTCGTGAAGGACCGACAGAAGCCAGTCCTTTGCAGCTTTCTTTCATACCACGACAACATTCCATACACTGACCACCTCTCCGCTTCTTCCAACCAGTCCCAGAGTCGGCAAATAGTGCACGACGTGGAATTCTCTGGGACGACATTCGGAGAACATGTCCAAGCCACCGAAGTCGGTGTTTCAAGATGGTGACACCAATTGAATTATCATCTCTGTGCCCGAACACACGATGCCGAACCTCTGCATTACTGATATGGTGTTGCCACTGAACGTTAGCAATCCTTCGGAAACAGCGATGATCGAACACAGAGAGTCGTCTAACATCCTCAACTCGGAGACCAGGTTTCACAAGCATAGAGCAAAACTGCTCTCACCGACGCGTTGTAGATCCGACCTTTTACAGCCAGACTAACATCACGAAGGCGCCAAAGGTGGCCCAGATTGGCATAAGCCGCTCTGGCTTTCACTATTCGTGCATTGATCTCATCACTCACGCCACCACCAGCACTAATGTAGCTACCTAGATACACGAACTTTTCGGCTATTTCAATCTGCTCACCATCCAGGGTGAGTACAGGATTGGAATCCTGCCAGTCTTGTAGAAGTACTTTGCACTTCGAAGGTGCAAAGCAC